GCTAAGCCAAAATCTCCAACCTATTTATAAAGGAGAGATGCTTTGTAAAAAAAACATTAAAAAACTATTTAGAAAAGATTTTAAAAATAATACATTTGATTTGAATTTTGTAAGTATATATCAACTTGTTTTATTGAATATATTTTTATTTTTTTATATAATTACCTTAAGAATTCCTTTATGAGATAATAATAAATTTGATGTTTTCAAGTCTCGATGTAAAATCCAATTATCATGCAAATGTGCAACAGCTTTTAATAATTGTTGAACTAAACATTTCACTTCACCTGGCAGAAAACCCTGTAAAATATAATATTTTAATATAAAGTTTCTCTTATCTCAACCGATAAGTTGCCGAATTTGGATCTTCTAATTTCATTTCTCGACGTTTCGGAGTGATTGTATTCTCAATCCTCACGAGATTGTGGAACAGCCTGATGAGATCAGTTACCCATTTATTGAAGATGGCAAATATAAATGACAAGAAATGAAACTAGAAATTTGAAATTCAACATTATTAATTAGCACAAATGTAGAAATTAATATAAAACCAATATTACCTGTTTTTATGCTTCATGGTTTCCATTAAGCTTTTTAAATCGTGCTCTACATAATCCATGACAATGAAGATTTTATCCATGTTACTCCCAACAACTATTTCACGAACTGTAACAATATTTGGATGTTGTGCCTGCAAATAATTTTAAATGCAATCATTACAGAATTTTCTATTTAAGGGGTAGGAATCACTTAAAATGATGGAGAGAAAAAATATTTTACTATACTGACCTTCAGTAATGTATTAATTTCTCTTAAAGAAGTAATTGGAAAACCTTCTTTCTCTTTCTCCATTTTCAATCTCTTCAATGCGACAACTTCACCTGTTCGAAGATCTTTTGCTCTAAAATATAAATGATAAAATAAAGCAAGATTGAAAAACAATATTTCAAGAAAAAATACTTAGCACCACAGCTTTTTCAAACCTGTAAACAACTCCATAAGTACCCTCCTCTATTCGATTTAAACATTGAAATTCAGCAACAGATCTGCAGCCTTGTATTCCTGGATAGTATGGTGGAAATTTTGTCAAATCTTCAGCTTCGCTGTTTTTTTCGTGCTCTGCATTATTATTAGCAATGTTATTAGTATTTGGACTGTTAGTTTCATTCTCTGTCTTTGTGTTTTCAATTTTCTTTTCTGAATCTTCCATTTGAATATCATCATCGTCCTTTTGTATTTCTGTATGAGATTCATCATTGGACTCTGAACTCGTATCAGACTCTGAACATGATCTTGATCTCGAACTGCAATACAGATTATGGAAGTCATATTTCATTCTTCTGTGTCAAGCACAGTTGCTAGAGAAACAATCTAATATTACATAAGTTTAATTAGTGAGACACAATAAACTTTCATATAGTGAATCTATGTTTTTTTTCATTAATTGATACTTTGTAATATAAAATACACATAATGTTATTGAACATATTACATATACTCAATAATAATGAAAAAGTCATTTGTAATAGAATTTTAATTAAAAGAAAATAGCATTCTTACTTGGATTTACGTTTCTCATCAGAATGATCATCTGTATTCTCTGAAGCTTCTTCTTCACTGTCATCTGAAACATCGTAAGATTCTAATATAAAATTATATCAAATAGACTTAAAAATTTATTTTTATATTTATTTATTTAAAATCTTATTATAGATAAAATATACAAAACCGTGTAAATGTAATAATTAGTAATTAATAAACACTAGTGCTGTTAAATGAAGATGAGACCTTTCAGCAGTAATTATTGTTACTATTCTTAAAATTCTTAATCAACATACCTGATTTACTATGATCAGAGTCATAGTTCGAATTGGCCATTTCCTCTTCTGTGTCATCAGATACCATTACTACAGTAACATCTTTTGAATCTAAAATTATTTTTAAAATTTCAAGTAAATAGTATAATTATACTGAATATATATATGCATTTCTATAAATTACCTTTATCTAAGCTATCCTGACTAGATCGTCTCATCTTTTTCCTAGATGATGCTTCTTCATGTTCTAATAGTTTTTTACTTTTTAATTCCCGCCTAGCTAGCAATTCCATACGACTAATTTTTTTTAACCTGAGCATTTCTCTTTCTGCAACTAATAACCTATCTCTTCTTTCATCATATTCAACATCACGAACAAGATTTGTTTTTTCCTTGTGCCTATATGTCTCCATTTCTGTTTTATCCCTCTTCTGCTCATAATTATGTTCAGATTCACCTTCAGAGTTTCTTTTTCTCTCACTACATTAGGTTTATATCTGCTGTGTCGTTTATCAAGATCATAATCTATATCTATACTCATTTTATCTCTACTTTGCCTTCTGTAATCCTCATTTTCTAAATCCCTGGATTTGATATCAATTTCTTTTTTACTTTTACGTTCATAATACTCTGCAGGTTTATCACGTTGTCTTCTATGCTCTTCAAGGTCCCTACTGTAATTTTTATGCCTTTTATCATCATGATCCAAATCATGTTGACTGCTACCTTTTGTTGGCCTTCTATATTCATCGTGAGACTGTACTTTATGCCTATTGCGCTTATCTAGCAGTCTAGATCGCAAATCTTCTAATATTCGATCAGGATTACTACTCTCAATATCTCCGGATCTGTGTCGTTTGTGTTTATCCTTATCCTTCATAGAGTGCCTTCTACTACTGTGTTTTAATTTTGAGTGTTGTCATGGGAATGTTTTTTCCTAGATAGTTTGTGACTTCGTGATGAAATTAACTGTGGTGGTTTTATATGCAAGGAAGCATCATGTTCTATGTCTTCCTCAGATAAGCTGAAATTTGTTCGAACAGTTGTAAGATTTAAATTCAACTATAACTCCACACACTAGCACTAAAATGGATATACATGTATTATAATATGATTTAGACTTAGATATAAGAATAAAATAAATTAGGAACAATAAAATCAAGTATTAACAAATGCATAAACTATAACCTTATTTTTCGCCAAGGTCTTCAACTCATCTTATATATAACATAAAGAATATGTACCTAAACAATATACGTTATACATTTTGAAACCAACTCCGATCTAATTTATAATAGTTTTTTCGAAAAACATTCTGATTTTCTAATTGACTAATATAATTTTTACATAAATGCAAATGTCATTCATACTAACCTAAAATCATTATCATTTGAATTAGGAGGCGAAACAATTTGTCCATCTTCACAACCATCCGAATCATTATTACTCATTTTAGATTAAATACGAATTTTACTTAAAACTATTAGATTTGACAATAACATTGAAGTTTATTTTTCACTTTTAATGGCGGCCACGAGTGGCCGCTTGAAAGCATAAAGTAATGTTGACAACATGACAGTAATAAATATTTAAGAAAATGCGCGAAATTTGAAATACTATTTACTTATGCACGTTGAATAAACTAAATAAAATTTGTGTGATATTTTTTCAACTTGATATTATTCATGCAAAACTACGTTTGTATGTTTTTAAAAATATTTTAAATTTAGACATTAAAACGGAAATCGCATGTGCATTGAATGTTATGATTACTGAATGACATAAAAATAAGAATCGTAATAAATCGATTTTTTTAAACTTATGTTTTGGAATGAGAGTTTTTCTTTAAATGTTGTAAATAATTCTTTATTTAATAACAGACCTTGGTGCAACCGGTTAAACAAAAATTAAAATCGAATTTCAAACTTTCTTTCTTGTTATTGATACATTTGAAAATAACGGAATATGACATTTTTGAAAAGGAAACACGTGTCTGAGTATAAATGTAAAATAAGTGATTGATTTAATCAATTAATTTAACAATATACATTTAAACAATAATTGTTTTAATTATTTACAAATTTTAAAAAATTGGCAAGGAATTATTTCACAAAATTGTTGAAACTATTATATTACCTTGAGTTTTATTTACTAATTTGGATTTAAAAAATTATTCAAATACCGCTGTATATATCAATTAAATTTTTGTATATGCTTTCCTTACATGAATGTTGGAATACATTGAAACTTCCTTTTAGAATTTGATATAATTGATGTTTTTTATATTATTATTATTTTTATATTATGAACACGTTTTTTAACTTTCCAGAAAAAATTGTTTTCATAAAAAATCCAATTCTCCGTTTTAGCCAATAATTCGGAATCAATTTTAAAAAAATTATTCGAAAGATATTTGGGAATCGTGCTGATTAGTTTTGGCTATAGATCGGCCGAGCATTTTCTTTGTAAGCTGTTGAATTTTTTTTAATAAGACATTAATTATACTAATAATTAATAATACTAAAATTTTGCGGTCTTACGACTAGTACTTCCATTCTAAAGGTAAGTATTTTAACTTTCAATAAATTCAGATACAATTTTTATTTTATTTCACTTTATTTCAGCAATCAGAAAAACAAAAATAATTTCTATGAGCAAAACTGTACAAGATACAAAATTTGAATGCAATATATCATAGACAATAACATATAAAATTAACTTTGTGAACGGATCAATAACAAATGTTAGAGGAGAGAAATTTCTTAAAAACTCTTGCCATATTTCTATTTCCTATAATACTTAATAAAAATACTTCCTGTTTATAAATGTATCAGATATTAGACATACACACACACACACACACACACACATATATATATATATATATATATATATATTTATATAAATATATATATACAATCACAGGTATCGGAACTAAATATAACATTTAAACTTGACCACAGAATTACGTGACGAAACTAGTAAATTGTTTTTAATAAGAAGACTAGTAACAAATTTACTCATTTTTAGTTTTTTAGCTTAAAAGATTTTTTTTATATTAGCTATTGGTAATTTAATTTGTTTAAATAATTGCCAATATTTAATTTTTGATTCGTCACATTTAATGTATAATATATTTTGACGACAAAAAACAACATATAAATTATAAAATAAATTATAATATAATTATCACAAAATTATAACAAATCAAAACATACTTCTTAGAATTATCAATTTCTAAGTCTTTTGTCAAATGAGAAATAAAAGCAATAGGAATATAATTATAAATTAGATTTCATTAAAAAGTTTAATTAAGCAAAAACGATGTATTTAATTTGTTTCTAGTTTAGTTTATAAATTTGAAGACTGATGTCTTTCAAATACACTTTTTTTTTTAATTTGGCATTTGGTTTTTCCGGGACACAAACAAACAAAAAATTGCTCTGTGGACCATCACTAAAAACAATTCAAGTGCGATTGAAAAATTTTAATATTTTTCGAACTCTTTTTGAATTTTCAAAAGTCAGTATACGAATTTCTTTATATAAACGTTTTATTTACCCTTATAATTAATATTCTATTAACCCTCATTTATTTCACAATATTATTTAAAAAAAATCTTCAGCTCATTGTCTATTTGTTTCACATTCACTATATCATTTTCTTAATAGAATTTTCTAAGTGTATTTGTATGAGAATATTATATATTGCAGAGAATTTATGAAATAAAATCATTTCTTTATATAATCTTAAAGAGTTTATATCATTCGTCAAAATATAAACTTTGAATTGAATATATATAATATAAAAAATATATATAAAAATATTATGCTGATTTAAATAATTTTAGTAAAAGAATCATAAATTTGATTAATTCAATATACTTTTATGATAAACACTAAGTTATAAATAATTAAATAATATATGCAATTTATTGAATAAAATTATCAGAAAATATATGTGTTGTCAAAAATGCAACTAATTATATATATACAATAATAAAAATTCAATTTATAGTATTCAATTTTTTAAAAGTCAAAAATGTTTTCACAATCATTTGCTGTATTTTTATTTATTATATTAGTAGACACAGTTATTTCGAAACCAAGGTATGTTATATATATATATATATATATATATATATATATATATATTGTTAATGGGTTTATAAAATTTAATTAGTAATATTTATATCAATAATTTATTATTTTTATTTCAGGCTTCATATTCGCGTGTATGTACCAGAAATAGTGCAGCATTTGCATCACACAAACACCATTTACAAACACATTCACCATCACATAGGAGGAAATCAAACGAAACCAGAAGAACCGAAGAAACATTACCATCTGCACAAGCACATAATAAAACCATCTGATGTTACCGATAAATTGATCTCAGAATTGTATCGGATAAGAAATAATGGTAAGGAGAAAAATATCAGCATCAAGCATTGTATTTTATTTTAAGAATAATCTCAAATTTGTATCCAAGTTCAATATTAAACTGAAGAACAATTATTCTTTATAAATAGATAACAATAATTACATGCACAAATACGAAGTGACTGAGAAAGAAAAGGAAATCATGGTGACTCCTCCCCCGATGATATATGGATTTGTGCCCCCATCACCAACCCCCGCTGAACACAAGCACCAGACCAAACCTGATGGTGGGAAGTATGAATATACCAAATTTCATGTGAGTACATACATTTTATCGAATAAATGTTTCTGATACTTTGTAAAAAATATATAAAACTTTTTTAGATAAGTGAAGGCTACAATAAGGTTTTGCCTCTGATAGAGGAAGGCAGTTATGGTGAAGTGAGGAAAAAAGGAAATTCTGAGACCATAAAAATTACTGACGAGGTAAGATGCATTCTGAAGAAATCCTCAATGAACAAATTAAAATTGCTGTTATATATAAATTTATGTTTCTTGTTAAATATATATATATATATATATATATATATATATACATTCTGCAGTTTTTATAAATTTTCATTTATCACAGGGAAGTGTTTATAAAAAAATAAATAGCGAGCACTCAGATATTGGAGGTAAAAAAGATGGTGGTTACTATGAAGAATCTTATCACACAAAAAAAACTCCTAAAAACTTTCATGGTGGTAGTACAAGTGGTAAACATGAACAAGAAGAATCGAAAAAAGAAGGTGATCACGAACACAACAAAGGTAAGTTCTTTTAAAATAAATTATCTTGAAAGTCATTTCACAAAAACTATATTATAGGATTCAGTGAAAATGTGAAATACAATCACTTAACCAATGAAGACTCTGAGAAAGAACATAGCCAACATAGTGGCAATAATAGTGAAGAGCATTCTAAGAAAGAGTATAATAAGCAAAATAATAATAATAATAAGGAGCAAGAAGACAATCAGCAAGTTTATGCAATATATTATCCAGTAGTCCATAATGCACCGTAATTATAAGAACTTTATAATATAAATATACTTATTTTGCTTCTATAAGATATTTTACTTTGCCAACAATTTGATTTGCTCAAACTCACATTTGTATTGTCATCATAAAGAATTCAATCAAAATTTTTATATGAGTATAAGAATAAAATTAAAAAGCAAATATTACCATTAAGTGCATAAGAGCAATCTGTTTTAATTTTTCATCTGGTGTCTTTGAAAAGCTTAAACACATATTAGATGTTATTTTGTTTTATATTTCATTAAGTTTAATGTAAAACAATATATAAACACATTATACATCTTGATGTGACTTTTTGGTAAATCGCTTAACTTTAGATCTCTTTCTGAGTCCTTGAGAAACTGTGGGTTCAATGACATTACGTTTTTGTAAGCTCTTAAATCTATCCAACAGAAGATTTCCTGTAACAACAA